CTCTTTCTATTTCCCTTAAACCTGATTCCATTTCCTACTCACAAGCTATTTTAGAAAAGTATTGGAATGATGTTGTCAAGACAAAATTGGGAGCCATGGAGGCAAATCAGACATGGGATGTGGTTGATCTTCCACCTGGAAAAAGGTAATAGGGACTAAATGGGTGTTCAAAACCAAATTCCTCCCTGATGGTGATATTGATAAACATAGGGCAAGATTAGTGGCTAAAGGCTTTACTCAAACATATCTAGTGGATTTCCTTGATACTTTTTCCTCAGTTGCAAAAATTAACTCTGTCAAGTTACTGCTAGCAGTCACAACAGCTTATTCATGGCACATCCATCAAATGGATGTCAGTAACACTTTCTTGCATGGTGACTTAGAGGAGGAGGTGTATATGGAAGTACCTGAAGGCCTAAGGCATCTAAGTCACATGCAAGGTAAATTTTGCAAGCTAAAAAAAGTCTATTTATGGACTAAAACAAGCTAGTCGACAGTAGTTCATCAAGCTATCTGACTTTCTGAAGGAACTGGGTTTCCAACAATCATATGATGATTAATTGATTATTCAGTGTTCAGGACATCTACTGTTATTGTTGTTGTTTATGCGGACGATCTACTATTGGCAGGACCTAATTTAGAGGATATTTAGAAGGTGAAATCTCATATGAAGGAAGTATTTAAGATCAAGGATCTTCGCAACAAGAAATACTTCCTGGGACTGGAAGTGGCCAGATCACATGAAGGGATTTCAGTGAATCAAAGAAAATTATGCCTGGAGTTGTTGTGGAATGTTGACTTCCTGGAAAGTAAACCTGCCAAGACACCTATAAGTATGAAGACTGTAATGTCATGTTCAGATGGAACCTTGTTAGAAGATGGATCACATTTCAGACACTTGATGGGACAACTGCAGTATTTAACCACTACTAGACCATACATAACTTTTCCTGTTCAACAGTTGTGCTAGTTTCAAGACAAACCTACAACAGCTCATTTAAAGGGGTTACACAGAATTTTGAGATACTTGAAAGGTAACCCAAGTCAAGGGTTGTGGTTATCTTCTAAATCTACAATGAATTTAAGAGGCTACTATGATTCAGATTGGGCTACATGCCCTAATATAAGAAGATCCATAGCTGGATATTGTACTTTCTTTGGAGACTCATTGATCACATGGAAGAGCAAAAAGCAAAAGACAGTTTTAAGATCGTCTTCAGAGGCAGAATACAAAGCCTTGGCTCAGTTATCTTGTGAAATTTAATGGCTTAAGTCATTGTTGTCCTTCTATGGTGTTGATCATCCTTTACTAATTCAGGTATTCTGTGATAACAAATCTGTTATCCATATTGCAGAAAATTCAGTCTTTCACGAAAGAACAAAGCATATTGAGATTGATTGTCATGTTGTTCGTGAAAGACTGAAAGGATGACTCATCACCCTTCATCATGTTCCTACTGATGAGCAACTAGCAGACATTTTCACCAAAGGTCTGTCAGTTGATAGATTCACATACCTCCTTGTCAAGCTAGCAGTTCATGACATATACATGCCAGCTTGAAGGGGGAGTGTGAACTGGATCAAAGATTGATAAGCTGCTGCAGAGGAGATGATCATGGAAGAAGTGGAAGCTCTGTAGAATGAAGAAACGATGCAGCTCGGTTGAGCTTCCTTTCACTCAGCCCAACACTCATTAGTGATCTATACGACGTCGTTTAGCTAAGTGGTGATCCACTCCACAAGTGAGATGGCGTTGCATAGTTGTTCGTTGATTAATGTAATTAAGTAGTTAACGACTGACACGTGTTTGACAGTCATTAGTTAGTTTAATTACTCTATTGTAGTTGGTTGTTGATGTATAGTTTAACCAGTGTTGTCAAAACCGAACCGGATATCATTCCGGAATCATGAGAGGTTCAAGGTTTATCGCATAATCGTCGATTAAACGGTTATTGAAAACCGATCACAAACCAGTGCGTGGCTCCAAATAAGAAGAACAAAAAAATAGAATAAAAAAAAAGTCAAAACACAAAAAAAAGAAGGGCGTAGTCACATAGATGGTTGTAGAAAGTAGGCTAGTTGTCACTTTCCACAATCCCCACTGCCTAGTTTTCCTTTTTTTTTAATTATTAATTGAGGTAATAAAAAACGTAGGCGCCAACTCAAATTTTCCCAACCCGCCCACTTTAGTGTTTCCGGGATCGGAGCTCTGTATGCGTCCAGTTTTTTTCGGACTGACTAGTCTGTCCGATCCTATTTTCATAACATTGAGTTTAACAGTCTGCTACTTTGGTATATATATGGAAAATCCCACAGTGGAAAGGGCAAGATGCCAATTTCCATAATGGCCTAAGTTTGTTTTTCTATCTTCTTCCTTTGAAATCCTAGTAGACATTCTTATAGGTTAAGAGTTTTCTCAGAGCAAGTTATGGGTTCGGGCGGATGGAGGAAAATGGAGAGGAAGAGTGGCGGAGGAGGAAGAACTGAGAAGAGAAAGGACTGGAGATGATCTATTAGGGTTTGTTGAAAGAGAATATGTTAAACATTTTTTAAAAGGTAATAATCAGTTATTTTTTTGTTTTCAAAATTGTCCCAGACTAATTTTGATAATCGATTTAAAAATAAAGTAAGAGAATAAGATAGATGGTGAAGATTTGGGTTGCCACCGTGACAACCAAAAGGTAAGTAGCCACGGTAACTTACACCAAATGACATCCTCTTTTCTATAAAAAAGAAAATTTTATAAGAAGAGGAATAAGGAAAATGCAATGTGAAGAGGAATCCCCCAATAATATATAGTACACTTTTGTGTTCTTTTCTTCATTTCAAATTTCCTACAACGAGAGTGAAAGTAGGAAGGACATTTTTGTCTTTATAATTAATTATTTATCTCACATAAAAAATATCAACATCGGGATTTGAACCCGGGAATCTTCAAACAAAGACAACAATCACAACCATTTACACTAAACAAATTTGTTGTGTATTTTTTAATACAAAATATACACGAAGTTCAACTCTCTGAAAATCGCAGGACTTTCCATCATGATTAGCAAGCCCACTAAGTATACCACATGTATTTTTATGGTGCTTGATACTTCAATTTTCATAGTAGAGTTTCATGTAATTTTCTCAATTTTAAAATTGTTTCTCTCTCCTTAATTTTTGCTAAAGGTAAATTGGTAATTGGCTAACATGGAAAAAACTAATTTTGTCACTGCGTGTTGTGTCCTTGCATTTTTCAATTTAAATTTTTTGGTTTTTATCTTTGTTCTTATCTCTTTCTAACTTCTTCGGAAATTCCCTCCATTGTACAATAGTTTGCGCCCCTTTCGCTTCCCAGTACAAGGTCGCCTTTGAAATCAATCATATGATATCTCTTGGCACGTCGGTTTTATTGTTGGGGATTTAAGTTGGGCAAGTAAAAGAGTTTAATAGACAATGGAGTTGCAGAAGGAGGATTAGCAATTGAATTTTTGGTTGAAACATATGTCTCTTGAGATAAAAATTTGGTTGTACAACGAAGAGTGGTGGCTATTGGATCTTTATGTTTATGGTTTTTACATCTATCACAACCTATTTCTATCTTAAAACGAGGAATCATTGATTGATTTATTGAATTAGGTTGATTCTTTATTCAACCTATTAGAACTGATAGACAAGGAGTGTCTAATTTTGTGCTTTATTGCTTTGATTGAGTCTATTAGTATGTTGGAGATAACCCTAATTTTACCGTTTGCTCTCAAGTTTTGATGGTCCCCTCTTAGCTGAGTTGTTAGTATATAGTTGACTTGAATCAACAACTCTCCATTTCTTTTTGATTAGTGGCATATTGTTCATAAAAGGAGCGCATTAAACGCTTATGTAGGATTGTGAGGTTTAAGATTTAGTTTCAAACTATCTATGAGTCGTGTGGAATTTCACTAAGCTTTTATACCCTCTTTCTTGATAATCAACTAACCAATAGCATTTTAACGAGGGCTTAATTATCATTATGAAAATGGAATTACTAATACATTTTATATTTTATATTCTTAAATGATGATGGTATTTCTCCGAATTTTAGACCTTATTCTTTCTTTATGTATCATCTCAATCGAAAGATTGTCAATAAAATTAAACCGGTTGATTCACTCAAACGTAACATAAAAATATAAATGGGCCGGTTATAAGCTAGTAAGGAAAATAGTATATCCTATAAATTCGATTTTATCCAAATAAAAAAATGCAATGAGGACAACTTCATATTAGAGAGGAAAATGAATTTTTTGGGTCACATAATTAGCAGTCCAATAACTCCAACCACAAGCAGGAGGGATTGTAGTCAAGTGTTGACGCGTCTAGATATCTGCTTAGAATTTTGAAATTATAGAGGGTTAAAACTGAAATTCCTGTCAAACGGAAATAACTTGCAGAAGTTTGTCTAATTTTAGTGAGCGACTGCTTAATTATGTTTTTCGAATGGCAGGTTCGGCTCCCAGACCCGTGATTAGGGGTGGTTATACGGTCAGTACAGTTAAATTGGACCAAATTGATTCGGTCTCAGTCCGATCTTTTTGGGAATATAAGGACCAAAGATTGGATTGGATACAGTCCGGTTTTAATCCAGTCCGGTCTCAATTTGATCTTGATTTTAGGTGTTGGGGATCTCTTATCCGGTCTTTATCCCGGTTTTTACCTCAAATCTAAGCCCAAATATAATATTGGATTGTTTGTTATCCGGTCTCAGTCTGGTCCCAGTCCAAATTATACGGTCCGGTTTCGGGTAAAACCAAACAGCCCGGACCAAATAACCAGCCTACCGGTGCTAGTGGTTTGAACCTAAAAGCAACCATACCTCCAACACGTCAGAACTCAGAAGATAAGGGAACCGTACACAAATATATAAGTCGGGGAAGGCAAGGCATTAGATAGGGACAGAGAGACGTTTGTTTCCCTTTTGAATTCCCATTTCCAGTTCCAGATCCAGATCGTGTGAGAAAGAGCAAAGCTTACCCACCATGGGCAAATTGGACACCTCCCGATCAACCTCCTCCCCGGCGCCCACCGCCCGCGGCCGCCTGGCGGTGCTCACGGCTCATTTGGCTCCACCTGCCGTCGACTCGCCTTCCCATTTCGCTGCCGTCGAGCGCTTCTGCGTCTTGTCTAACTCCGACCTCCCCACCCACCTTAAGGGCACCCTCAGCATCGTCGACGAGAGGACCGGGAAGGCGTATAAAACCTCCGTGTCCGAGCATGGCACCATCAACGCCTCCGATCTCAAGAAGGTGTTTTTCTCTTCACTGTCCCTTTCACCACCAATTTACGATTTGGAAACTTGAAAATTCATTCAATATAGACTTTACTTATCATGGAGAATCCTCCTTACTCGATTGGCAACGATTGATTAGGCTCCATGTTCGTTGAATCTTTCTGATCTATTGGGATGAATGATCCTCCCCACACCACTAATCCCTGATCCTTGCCTAACAAATCTCTTTCAGATATCAGCGGGAAAGAATGACAAGGGAATCAAGCTTTATGACCCAGGCTACCTAAACACTGCTCCTGTGCGGTCTGCTATTTCTTATATTGATGGGGATGAAGGTATTCTTAGATACAGAGGCTACCCAATCGAGGAGTTGGCTGAAAAAAGCACATTTGTGGAAGTGGCTTACCTCATCAGTTGAGTATTTCTTGATACCAAGTTTGCCTTCTCTAAGCAAATATCTTTATTTTCTAGGCTGTATTTTTTCTTTTGGGTTCTTCTTGTTTCTCTTTCTTGAGATGTCTGCAGATCACTCTTCCCTCGCTCACTTGGGTGATCTTTGTCAATCTAGCACCATGCCGCTAATACCTTTATTTGTGCTGTGCCCCTTTCCAAATGTGGAGCATTTCAGCTCCTTATAACTTACTCCATGTTATCAGATTTTGTTATTCGATCTCCAATTCTACTTCTGTGTCTATTTTTTCTCCTATGATGTGGGGAAAATTTGCTGTTTAAAGTGTGTAGGTTACATTTAGCCAAACTGTTTTATAGCTCTGTGCAAATATTATATAAAAACATATGATCACCTCAGGGTGGAAGCTCGAGCAAGGATCACCTACATGATTTTTGTTGGTGTTGGTGTTGTTAATGCAATTAAAGTCGACCTGTCTTTGCAGTGTACGGGAACCTGCCATCTGAAAATCAATTGGCAGACTGGGAATTTGCCATTTCGCAACATTCAGCTGTGCCACAGGGTATTTTGGTGAGTCTATCTCTTTGTGTTGTACACACACCCAGACACAGACATAAACTCACGTCTATCCCTGGGACATGGAGGTGGACAATGATATTATTGTAATATAGTTTGCAGTGTGCTCTTGAGTATCGGGTAATTTAGGAGAATGGAACTCTAACTCATGATATCTAGATGGTGGTCTAGATTTTCAATTTTGTGGCTTGATGCCTTATAAATATGACCTGCTTGTTGCATTATGCGCGTTTTAATTACCCACAGCAGAAGGAAAAACTAAAAATGCTAAAACTTCTTGTCACGTGGATATTTATCAAATTTATCTGACAGTTTTTGTTTCTCAAGCGTGCGGTGGGGTCAGTAGTTTTTTCTATACATAAACCAGAGATTCATGGCACAAGAAGCTCCTTCTCATCACATTTTACCTGAAATCTCTGAAATGGCACTTCTTTAGAGTTTATATAGCCTGAATTTTCCTGAGGAATAAAATGTTCTCTTATACTTGTTTTGCAGGATATTATACAGGCAATGCCTCATGATGCACATCCTATGGGTGTCCTTGTCAGCGCTATCAGTGCTCTTTCGATTTTCCATCCTGATGCTAATCCAGCTCTTAGGGTAAGTATGGAAATATTATAATTGTTTTGTGGATCAGTGTGTAGTTGAGGACTTCCAGCATTTATGATTGCTATATAACAGGCAAATATTACACTTTTGTCAGGGGCAAGATCTTTACAAGTCGAACCAAGTGAGAGACAAACAAATTGCACGCGTTCTCGGGAAGGTTAACTTTGGTCTCCTTGCCTGGTCCTAAATATTTCTCTGATCCCCCCCCCCCCCCCCCCCCCCCCCCCCAATGTGCATTTACAGTCAATTTGTGTGCAATTGTCATATGTAGTAGTGGTTCATCTAATGTGGTGTTGGTGTGCTCTGCGTGTTATGCCTCTAATATGTAACCTCTTCATGAGTTGCTCTGCAGGTGCCAACAATTGCAGCAGCAGCATATCTTCGGTTGGCAGGCAGGCCTCCTGTTCTCCCTTCCAGCAACCTGTCTTATGCTGAGAACTTCCTCTATATGCTTGACTCATTGTATGACACCAGGAAAAACATTTATCTTTGGTTTCTTTGCTATTGATTTCCAATATTTTTATTTTAACTAGTTTTGTTGATTTTAACAATCAAATCTCTCTTTTGAAAAATTGCCAGAGGCAATAGGGCTTATAAACCTAATCCTCGATTGGCTCGAGTGCTGGATATTCTTTTCATTCTGCATGCAGAACATGAAATGAATTGCTCAACCTCTGCTGCCCGGCATCTAGCCTCAAGGTATAGTTCCTGACACGAAACTGAAATAAGGTGCATTTGGTCTTTGCTCTCACATTTTACGATTGCTGCCAGTGGTGTTGATGTGTACACTGCGCTTGCTGGAGCTGTTGGAGCTTTATATGGTCCTTTGCATGGTGGGGCAAATGAGGTGAGCTGACTTATTCTCAACTCCCACCACATGTAGGAGTGTTCTCTTTTACCTTTTTGCACTTTCTTGGTTGAGCTTCCTTTTAGCTCAACTTTTTGTATCCTTCTTGTAATTTAAGCTGCTGGTGTAAGGCTTAATTATCTGCATTAATGACAGGCCGTGCTAAAGATGCTAAGTGAGATTGGTAAAGTTGAAAATATCCCAGATTTCATTGAGGGTGTGAAAAACAGGTGATTCTTTCTTTTGTTCCATGTGCTGCTAAATTTCTAAATGCTGTGGATGCCCTTTCTTAATGTTCCGGTGCCCTGTCAAGTCTGCAGGAAGCGTAAGATGTCAGGTTTTGGGCATCGTGTCTACAAAAACTATGATCCAAGAGCCAAGGTGATTAAGACACTAGCAGACGAAGTGTTTTCCATTGTAGGGCGTGATCCTCTCATTGAGGTAATCTCTACTTTCTATTTGCACTTTACAAGTCCCAGGGAAAAGGCCTAAACAAACTACTGGTCTTTTTGCTAGTACTCATAATTTGTGCTGATTAATGGCATTATTTTAAGGTTACATACGATGTACACTTTTGACGCTCCTAGAATAAAAGCCATTACTGAATGCTCTCTTCGTCATATTCATAGACCTTGCTCTCCAAGTATGTAGTGATGTGTAAAATCTGATAGGGTTTTGATGCATACAACTGTTGTCTGTCTATAGGTGGCAGTGGCTTTGGAGAAGGCGGCACTCTCTGATGAGTATTTTGTAAAGAGAAAGCTGTATCCCAATGTTGATTTCTACTCGGGGTTGATATACAGGTGCTGATAAAAACAGAATCTTCTTCCCTTCGTATAGGTTAAGCGTGTTTGTATTTCCTTATGAATCGTCAAACAGCTGATAGCTGATAAAATTTTCTTCTCACAGGGCTATGGGATTCCCAACTGAGTTCTTTCCTGTTCTATTTGCAATCCCTCGGATGGCTGGTTACTTAGCACACTGGCGAGAGTCTCTGGATGATCCAGACACAAAGATAATGAGACCACAACAGGCTAGTTGTCGAGAGCCACATGTCGTTACTGCCTATTGTGATTGTTGCTGGAGATTAGCAACTAAAGAATGTATTATTCCTTTCTGATGCAGGTCTATGTTGGGGAATGGCTGCGGCGCTATGCTCCGGTGAATGAGCGAATTTCGTCACCAGAAACAGACAGGCTAGGGCAGGTGTCTGTTTCTAATGCATCAAGGCGACGACTGGCTGGGTCTAGGGTGTAGTTCACTCACACACACACTTACCATTCATACGGAAAAGGTAAAACAGGGGAATGAATAATAGCATGAAAGAATGCTTTTGTGATGAATAAATTGGGGTACCAGTCTCCAATATAGTTTCACCATCATCTCAGCCCAGAGTAATGTGTTGTTATGAATAAATTGGATTTGTACTCTTAATTTGCCACTTTGACTTTCTGTTTCGTCTGATCACAAGAGAAAAAGTGTCCTATAAGGCATTGCGCATTATATATGAAAGAACAACTTAATTACTACAGGAATTTGTGGCTTTACTTTGGTGTGGTACAAATTCCCTTCACTTCTGATTGCATATTTGGATACCAAGACAGCACTCCCTGGTCGCGTCGTCGGCCTGCAAAATATGAGTTCAAATCTTGAACATGAAAGGAGCGGCATTTCGGTTCTCATATTCACCTCTTCTCCCCCACAAAAGAATTTGGAGCATGGTGAACTTCATCCATACATCGTTGGAAGTGTTTTTAAGAGTTCGCTGGGTGACAATTCCAGGTACATGAAAAATTTAATGGGACTCTTTGGCCTTTCAGTGAGGGAAGAAGTTGTTGGCAACACATTCGGCCGATGGTAACACTCAGCATCGCCTGTCCCAAAACCCTCTCCCAAAGTCCTTTCCCAAACCCTGTCCCAAAATCCCATTCGTGCTCCCGCCCAACAAGAATGGATGAGTGGAATGCAGGCCGGCGACACGACCAGGGGAGGCGATCGGCGGCGATTTTGGGAGCCGAATCGCTTTGTACAGGGGCAGTGGAAAGTGACCGTGTGTTTTTGTCTCCAAGAATTTGGCGCATTATAATTTCTAATGCGTCGTGAGAATGATAATATATTTTACTTCTACTCCTAAATTACCACGAATACTACTAAACTGGTTTATTATTCATCGACGTCCTAAAACCAAAGAACAACGTACATATTTATAGGACTACTCTCACAATCCTTTGCCTCTCAAACAAGGTAAACTAATCTTATCCCAACAAGTAAACACTAACTTCCTCAACAAGACACAATAAACTAATACGAATAACAATAATGACCTAACAATTAATTAATAATAATCTCTAATTACTAAGCCCACTCGACCACGAGGCCCAACGAGTGCTATAATGAACCAGAATTCATGTGGGTGGTTATAGAATTAGGGTTTTCGATTGGGTTGTCAATTCAATTGAGTTTGGTCATTAGTTTTTTTTTATTAATATCTTAAATGACATGGCGTGTTGACTAGATGGAAGAAACGATTTTTTTGGACGGAGATGAATGGAGTTACCTTTTCGTTATTAGTCGAAGCATATGTTAATGAAACGTGCAAAATGAAAGGCTTGTAACTGTTTTGTACAAAGTGAATAGGTGTCATACCTTTTATGCTAGTTAGCGCAAATCAAATAGGAAGAACAAAGTCAATCATGTATATATGCAAAATCGAGAACACATCGTCAAGAACCTCTAGGATTTGCAAACCTATGCAACTAAGGGAACTAGTCGGGCATAGGAACTAGATTCATCATATTCATCATTTGAAACGAAGATCCCAAGGAGTTCTCCAAATTGGCGCCCCAAACAGAGATTTCAGCGACTAAGGCATCGATCTGGGTGCCAATTTCCCTCTAGTAGTTGGTGTCGCTCTAAGTCAGTTGAGTCACTTTGTAGGCAGAGTAATGGTCCACTAATGCCTCCTATCACTGGCTACTAAATTTCTTCTCAGGTCTTAGAATAGAATGCACTTTGAGTGATCACAAAGCAAGTCCAAGATATTATGATGTTAAAAATATGAAAATGATGATGTTTTGGTCATAATATGATGGTCTACATTAGTACTTTCTTGTGTCATCAGCCTATGATACGCCCATGTTTATGATAGTGTTATACTTGCGAGTCGTTTACTTTATGAAATTGAAAAATGAGGGTTCTTGTAAAACTTGGATTTTGGAAAACTATGGATATATGATGGATTTGATGGCATTATGGATTTGATTATGGATTTTGTTTGATTAGATTTGTGGATATGGCATACAAATTACCTTGTTACCCTTATCTAATTATATTTCTATATTATAATCTAAATTTTCATTAAAAACAAATCAAATATATACAAAGAAACTTTACTCTTTACCACTACTCTATGGACTAATAAGTCAAGTACAAATATAGAAATGTTCACAATTGGGCACCAATTAACAATTTATCTAATAATGTACACAAATATTATGTATCAGTTGCAACCGGTTGCTCTCTTTATTGCTACAACTCATAATCTTCTTGCTAGCTCCCTGATTCTGGAATCTGATAGTCAATCAAATAATAATCCACAAGATGAGCATAAGGTGTTTATAGTTGAATCCAACAAATTACATACACATTTATATTTAAATAAAATACGACATTATAAACGAAATGATAAATTTTCATATTTAAATAAGTATGGCATTATAAATGTTTATAGTTGCATACCCATTGAAATAAAATAGGAGGACAAATTTGTAATTAAAAAAATAAGTAAGGGTAGAAGGATAAATTTTCATCATGGATTTTAATCCATCAGCCAAATCTCACCTCAAGAGGTGGAACTTCCAAGTCCGTGGGTCCACGGATTTTGCCCCAAAAGTGTGTGGGCCCCACAGATTTCATCTTCTAATTCTCTAAATCAAACGATGGATTTTTGTTCAAGTCCATAATGGATTGATTTCCATGACCAAATCCATTATCAAAACCCTAAAGCAAACGACCCCTTGATGTCTTCATATTTTCTCCCTTTTGTGGTTTAAATTTCACCGCGTCACACCTTTATGATAACCTAAATCATAGGGTCGAAATGTTTTTGTTTTTTCTCCGTTTTGTTGGATCTATATTGGTTTATATGGTTCGAGATGTTACAACCCTATATAGTTTGAGCTATGTACTATGTCGATTAAGAAAACTATGAAATAAGAGATCAATTGGAGAGTTTAATCTCTCCAAAATGGTTGTGCCTTTTAAATTCATGTTTTTAATTCTTTAACATGGTATGAGAGTTTTTCTAGGCCTTGTGTTATAGCTTCTCATCCTTGTTATAACAGATTTCGAACTTGGTTCTATAGGGTTTGCCATTCATCAATTTGGCTTTGTTCTTGGGACCGAAATAACACACAAGAAATCATAGTGGTGTGAGCCGTGTTTTAGCAATCATTGTCCAAAGAAGTCTAGGTGCATTTAACTAAATTCAACTTGAGTTTTTCCACTGGACACAAGTACATGATGGATGGTTATGGTTGAGCTTTAAAGTTGACAAAGTTGAGCGAGGTAATGTGGTTGTGCATGAGAAGGCGACAGATGAGAAAATGTCTTAGGGGTTGTTCGTATGGGGAGGAATGTGTTATTGAGAGATTTGAACCCAAATTTCTCATTTAGAAACTCATATATTTTCCATGTGAGATTTGGACTAAATGACTTGTTTGTTTATGGATCTAGGTTTTCCTTGTGAAAATTTTCAGAATCTAGGTTTTCATTAAAAAAAACACACACACGTAGGCCCAAATTTCACATTTTCCCTTTCATCTTGAACCCCACTGCCTCCCTCCAGAAATGACCCATCGTTCTTCTTCAGAAATCCAGAATCGCCACCTTAGGAACGATGACGGCACTGTCGAGGATCAAGCTTGCTTGGATTTTGGTCGTTGATACGGATTGAAGGAATGTAACGTGGATGAAGGAGGAGGAAGAAGGTGACGAAGGAGGATTACATTTGTGTGGGTGAGGGTATAGTTTGGAATTTTATAAAATTAGAAGGGATAAAATTGAAAGAGAAAAGAAGTTAATGAAGGATTTTGAAATAGATAGGGACAGGTATTTAAAAAGCCCACATTTGCAAGTTTTTTAAAATTCTAATCTTAAAATCCCTCGTTTTTCTAAATGTGTTATTTAATCACAATTCGACAGGTGAGAGATTTAGACAAAATCATGAACCGAATCCCCCCATTCAAACGACCCCTTATAAATTGTTCTTTCTCATTTTGGTTTGACGAACTAAAAATGAAATGTGTCCTCAGTTAAAGACATATTCAATTAGTTCAATTCGTTTAAGTGGATCCAGATATAAAAATAGTATGAAATCGAAAAATTTATAATCAAAATTCCAATTCCAAGAGATTTAATAGTATTATCAAACTCGAAACCCTTTAGTAAATTAAGATTTTTTTTATTAAAATTGTGATTTTCACTACTTTGTAGGCGTACACTAATTTTATGAAAGTGGCTCAACTACAATGTTCAGAAACATTGGTCTTCCAGGTACAAGTCAAATCTGTACCACAACGTTAAAATTACAAGGGAAGAAAATCAATTGCGGAATAAAAGAATCAATCACACTACACGACGATTTACGTGGTATCCCTATTCGATGTGAACAGGACTAACCCACGGTGAGCTCATAAGAGCTCACGACTGATCTCTTATTAGGATTACAACTTGACGGCTTGCTTACAAAAATCTCGTAGCTAAGCTTATATAGAGAAAGACTTAGGGTTAAAACCCTAATCCAACAAATAAGACAAGGCCCAACAAGGCCCAATACTAACACGGTTTAAGTAACCGCAACACTCCCCCTCAAGCGAAGACATGAATGACAAGAATGTCAAGCTTGAAGAAGTAAATGTGAAGAACAAGCATGATGGCTTGAACCACAAAACTCGAGATGAATAACATCTCAGACGAAGTTGATTGGAGACGACTGACTCTCTCTGAACAACCTGATGATAGAGACGATTGACTGCGTCTCTTGAACTGGAACACACTTGGTACATCGCGGTCGACCTGATGACTGAATTAGTCGACCGACCTATGTTGAAAAGAACTCAACGGCACCACAAGACATACCCAAAACAGAAATTTATTATGGGGTACAACGAACACACCTATTTAAGTCGTCCCCAAACATGAAATTCATGTATGAGACCCAAAAGGATGCGGTACCCAACTAATCTACTATGCCGAAGAGGGAACCCCATTCGCAACAACATCACGACGTGGATTGAACAGCCAACTTCTGCTCTGTGACTAAGCTTGGTTGGCGATGATGGAGGTGAAGAAGTTGCCTCCAGCTGACTGTGTACTTCGGATACGTTGACTGAGCAACCATAGAAAAACCACAACGGAAGACCCGGCCGGTGGAAGTGATTTGACTTCCCACGAGCTGTGGGAAACACATTAATTGCGGTTTTTGGTCATTTAGTATTATTGTCGGTTTTTAATCATTGGGGGATTATTTGGGGACTTTGGGGAATAACTAGGGTGTTAATTGTTGCGTTTATTTGTTTGGGTAGAGGATAGTAATTAAGAAGACTATATAATATGTAATAGTGGTCTTATTTTCATTAGGCAATTACAGAACAAAAACCTAAATCCTAATCTCTCTCTTTCTCCCTTCCTCCTACGTTTTCCCTCTCCCTCTTCTCCTCCAAAAGGCTGCGGCAGCAGCCACCTTTTCCTTCCCTATTCTTGGTTCTTAATCCTCAATTCCCAATCCCTAGTTAGATCAATCCCTAATTGATCTAGCTTAATTCCACAATCCCAAACCCGTTAAAAACCTTGTTTCTAACATATGGTATCAGAGCAAGGTTCGAGAGTGAGTTCTTTGAGCTCTTGAACCAGGGCAAACAACGATGGTGTCGACAAAATCGATGGGAGCCGCGGCAGGCGGAGGCGGTGCGATCACCGAGGGAGGAACGTCAGCGCAGGGGGCCTGCGTTGGGCCTGTCCCTGCTCCGCCTCCTCCTGTTCCCGGCCGGAACTCGGCCGCAGTTAGCGCCGCCGGCGCCTTCTCCGTTGCCACGATCGCGGCCCAAGAGATTGCGGCCCGAAAAGGGAAGGCTAAGATGCTCGGTTATGACACAGACGGGCCTCCCATGAATACTGGGCCGAGGCTGATGGCCCACTACACAAAGGTCCATAACGGGCTGGGGTGGGATTTTGAAGATGGGCCCGAGTTTGGGCCGGGAACAGGAGGAGGTGGAGCAGGGACAGGCCCAATGCAGGCAGGGTTAGGCCCGGGTCTGTTACCGACACCTACGGCCCAAGAGATTGCGGCTCGAAAAGGGAAGGCTAAGATGCCCGATAATGACACAGACGGGCCTCCCATGAATACTGGACCGAGGCTGATGGCCCACTACACAAAGGTCAATGACGGGCTGGGGTGGGATTTTGAAGATGGGCCCGAGTATGACAAACTTAGCCTGGCGGATCAACAGGCCAAGTAGGTTGAACCGAAAATGGACCAGAGGGGGCCTGGTGGGCCGAGGAGGGTCGCCGACCAAATGGGGCAAGGGGGGTCGGCTCCTATGGGGCGGACCGCAGCGGACTGGGCCGAGGCGGGTCGGACCATGACAGGTCGAGTCGGGATAGGGCGAACGGACGCTGATCGAACCGAGGTGAGCCGAACCGGGTCGGGTCGGACCGGAATCGGTCTGCCCAAGGTGGGTCAAACCGGACATCGACTGAGCCCGACTGCTTCGCCGATCAGAAGGATGGACAGCAGGGGACCCGCCGCCTAGGAGGGCCCGTACGGAGCACCTCACGCTCCAGAAGGGTACCCGAACCTACAAGGAAGCTACCCGGGTGACTATGCGCATGGGAACCCAAGCCGGATACAGGGTTCCTCTTTTGGGCAGCCGTGGAGGACGCCAGGAAATGAAAGGTATGGGTCCCACTATGAACTATGAAGGAATGGATGGAGTAGTTTTTCGAGCTAAGCCTCCTACCATTGAGTTCCCAAAATTCAATGGGCAAGAGGATGCAGACTTTGGTTGTATGCAGTTGAGAGGTGGTTTAAAAACCACCCGATTCCGGAGGAAAGGAAGGCCTACCTGGCATCGTTCTATTTGGAGGGAGACGCGCTCCAGTGGTGGGAATGGATGGAGAGATCCTACGCGGCCGCAGCAACCTTGATCACCTGGCCTATGTTTCAGGAAGAGCTGCTCTATAAGTTTGGGAAGTCAGAGGGGTGGGCGCCTGAGCAGTTGGCGAAGCTGAAGCAGACCGGCACGGTGGCTGAATACCGTGCAGAGTTCTTTAAGTTGGGGAACCAGTGTAAAGGAGTCTCAGAGGACACCTTAGTGGGGCTATGCATGGCGGGTCTCAAGCCCGAGATAGCAGCGGCGGTCAGAGTGTTCGAGCCCGACTCCTTGAAAACTCCTTTTCGTCTTGCAGGTCATAAGGAGGAAGAGCTAGCTAGTTGGAGGAGCGCCATTGGCCGCTTCTCGAAGTCGAGCGGAGGTGGAGGAAGCAGTGGGAGCAGTGGCAGCACGGGAGGGGTGCCAGGGGGAGGCTCGACTAGGGCTAATGTTGGCAGTGGAGGCCCTGCTCCGGTGACTAGGATGGGACCGCGGGCCATACCAAAAGGATTCGTGCGACTGTCGCTGGCCGAGGTTGAGCAGAAGAAGCGGGAAGGCAAATGTTTCAACTGCGACGAGAGGTTCACCGTGGGACACAAGTGCTCCAAGCCCGAATTGATGATGCTGGTGGGGCGTTGGGAAGATGAGGCAGAGGAGGAGGCCGCGGAAGAGGGCGCGCCAGATATGGAGTAGGATCCGCAACCTTGAGGACAAGGTTGTTTCCGAAGAAGGCGGGGATGTGGGAAACACATTATTTGCGGTTTTTGGTCATTTCGTATTATTGTCAGTTTTTAATCATTGGGGGATTATTTGGGGTATTTGGGGAATAACTAGGGTGTTAATTGTTGCGTTTATTTGTTTGGGTAGCGGATAGTAATTAAGTAGACTATATAATATGTAATAGTGGTCTTATTTTCATTAGGCAATTACAGAACAAAAACCTAAATCCTAATCTCTCTCTTTCTCCCTTACTCCTGCGTTTTCCCTCTCCCTCTTCTCCTCCAAAAGGCTGCGGCAGCAGCCACCTTTTCCTTCCCTATTCTTGGTTCTTAATCCTCAATTCCCAATCCCTAGTTAGATCAATCCCTAATTGATCTAGCTTAATTCCACAATCCCAAACCCGTTAGAAACCTTGTTTCTAACACGAGCTGCGAACAAACCATGCTTAACTTAGGAGCTAATTCTGATTCTTGTTTACTGTCGGAGGCGTACAAGATCATCCCTGCTGACCAAGATGATGGCAGGTGGCGAGGGCGTTTGTGCGAGCTGACGTCTGAAAGCACAACCTGCCGCTAGGGATGACAACTTTGCCCATATCCATGGGTTTCTTACTATCCAACCCAATTGGGTTGGGTATGAAATCCAAATAGATGGATATGGGTAGAGTTTGATGGGTTTGTACCCATACCCATTTACTTTGGGTTGAGTTGGGTTTATATCAAATGGATTTGGGTTTGTACCCATGCCCAAATACAAATTACAGTTTGGTACCCAAACTTAATAGACATGCATATTTAGTACCTAAATTTAATTTTTTTGCATATAAGTCCTCAAAATATCGATGGAAAATTACGTTTTGGTACCTAAATTTTTTTGGTCTTACGTTTTGGTATCTAAACTTTTCAAGTTTTGCAAATAGGTCCAATTTTTGCATGTGTAGTTAAAACACCCTCAAGTAAATGGATATCCATATCCAACCCGTACCCATTTAGATTATGGAAGCCCCAAACCCATCTATAAACCCCCAAATCCATATGCACTTCACCCATACCCAACCCATTATCAATGGGTCTACTTGGGTTTGGGTATAATTACCCATGGGTGGGTAATTTGCCATCCCTACCTGCCGCCGATGCTGGACTATGGATTGAGACTCGCGGAGACCCCGCGATACGGATCTGAAGTCGGGGCCGGAGTGGACATCGGCTCTTCTTTCGATGACGACCGTGACTAATCATAGGGACGCCGGGATGATGTTGGAGAGGCCGGCTTACTACCGGCAGTGGCTACTGTGAAAGTATCATGAGAGATAGATGGATGGCGATCTGGACTTCGCCTATGGAGAGATTAACTGCGAAAGCTCAAAACCCTAACAAGGATCGAGTTTCGCTCTGATACCATGTAGAAAATCAATTGCGGAATAAAAGAATCAATCACACTACACGACGATTTACGTGGTATCCCTGTTCGATGTGAACAGGACTAATCCACGGTGAGCTCATAAGAGCTCACGGCTGATCTCTTATTAGGATTACATCTTGACGGCTTGCTTACGACAATCTCGTAGCTAAGCTTATATAGAGAAAGACTTAGGGTTAAAACCCTAATCCAACAAATAAGACGAGGCCCAACAAGGCCCAATACTAACACGGGTTAAGTAACCGCAACAACAAGTTTAGTTTATACCTTAAAGAAGTACAAAAATCTATATGTACAAACTAAATATGTACCATAATAACATTAGAGTACACGTTTAGTTTGTATTATACAGGAATTTGTACAAAAATATATAGTTACGCAAAACATTTACTAAAAAATAAAAGTATAGCTGAATTTTTTCATAAGGTTAGATATAAGTTCCGTTTATACTATAATTATATTTTTTTTATAAAAAAAACACATATACTACCGATGTTAAATTCTTTTCATCACATTAAAAGAATTCCGCTTCTCAAGCGAGACAAGATTATGGTCTCTAAAAAAAACAAGTTATTTTTTTTATTTTTTTTATTTCTGAGTGATATCAATGGAAGAAAATAGTTAAACTTACAATTCTACCCAGGACCCCCTAAAAGATTCTAAAGAAGCCACCCCAAAAAATCAAAAGATTCTATCTCTACACGAGACAAAAGCAGTGCTTTACGCGCCACTCTATGGGCAGCACTGATGGCGGATCTATGTACCGCCCTAAACTCTATACAAACAGACAAAGAGCTAAGGATCTGAAGACACTCTCGAAACACCAGACCACCAATTGAGACTTCAAAGACGCCTTGTCGGACTTGGTAGACCACCACTTCGGAATCACCTTCGACTATCACGTGGGTCAAGGATCTTGAGGCTACGATGGAGATGGCGTCTCTAAAAACTAGAAGCTCTGCCAGATAAGGATAGATTATTCCTTGATGTTGCAGCCCGAGCGCCAACACCACATGCCCGTCTGACCCACGGAAAACAAGCCCAGACGAACAACCGGTGGTACAAACAGGTGCGTCTACGTTGATCTTCAAAAAGTCTTCTGGTGGAGGGACCCAAGTGGTGGCAGGATGAACTGGGACTAGAGAGCTGCGGGGCGGAGGAGGAGGAAGAAGAAAGGAGAATTCGAGGACCTGGTTGTAGAACTGTCTGGCTAGGGAACGGACATGGGGTTGGATAAATTCAAAGGTCACTTTATTTCTAGACTTCCAGATTCTCCAAAGTAAACAGATGCATTGGAGAATGTGGAATTGGGAGGTCTCGGAGACCATGACATGTCGCCACCGTAGACCAAAGTTCAGAGTCTGAGCGGTCTCAATAAAGTTGCTCAATCCCACTAAAGTCCACAATCTGGTGGCTAGGGGGCATCTAAAGAATAAATGTTCAATGCTTTCTCGATGTCTCCAGCAGACAGAGCATCGGTTGAGACAGTTGACTCCACGAGATTGAAGGGCCACTACTGTGGGAAGTATGACTTTGAGGCATTGCCATATGAAAATTTTGAACTTAGGCAGGACTTGGATATTCCAAGTCCTTTTCCAAATAATTAAGATAATCTCAATTAAACCAATTTGGAAGACCAAATATCCACCCCACTTCAAAAGCTCATTTATTTATATGTAAAAGATCAAACTTGAGTGTGTCCCATTGGTTAGTCAAACCCATTAAATGCCAATAAATTAAATGCCAATAAATCACACATTGAAGGCCTATAATTACTATTAACAAAACCTGTCATTGTCGAGTAAAACTCTATCCCCATTAGAGCCGTTGTAGGACACCTAATACCATCAAATAAATTAGATGTTGGTAGCTTCCAATCAAAAGGTCAACAAAGGAAATAATTGAGCTGACCCACATGAATATGGAATTATTCCCCTAATAACATCAAATGAATGATGATTCAAAAGCTCATAATAAAGCTTTAATCGTCCGAAACGGACGAATACCTCCAATAAATGGAGTTTTAATTCTTAACGGAGGGGCATTGAATGCAGGATCGGCCGAATAAAGCAAGTCGCCGAGTAACTCTCTGCTGCGCAACAACGACTCGAGCCTCAGTAGCTTCAGCTCATGCTTGAACTGGTCGATGAAATTGCATCTCCAGTAATTGGACCTCAGATAAAAATGAATTAAAGACTAAAATGCCAATTCTATTAAATAGAATAATAGATATATAGGAGAATTAAAAAACAATTCAAAAGCCTTAACCGTTAACAGTAAAGACACCAGTAAAATAGCCCTTAATGGCTAAAAAGTGGGATGTTAATTAACATTAATGAGAGGTAGTCAGGTGAAACGTACGTCGGCACCACCCAAAATTTTGGCCGCCGATCTCGCATCTCACCGGAGTCTCCGGGAAAGACCTTGTGGTCTCCGGCCTGAATAGCAGAGAACAAACCACAAACTCATCCAACAAAAAATCAAACAAGAAGGGGTATTACCGGCCGGAAGTGAAATCCGGTGAGAGTTTTCTAAACCAGGAACGAACGGATTCGGGAAACCGGTGATACTGAGAGGCGCAGAGCAGATTCGCCGTGGATCGACTGTGGCCGACTGTCCGTGCGGCGGGGAAGTGAACTGGGAGAGCCTCAGTGCGGGGCAGTAGAGGAAGAGCACAGAGGACTCGACGGAATTAGGGATTGTGGACAGATCCGTAACTCTGTCCGAAACGGCGTCTTATGCGGCCGTTTTCCCGCCGGTGGACGCGCAATGAGCGCCATCAGGACCAAGCTTCATCACCAACTCCAGACCGTCACGGCGAGAATTCCCGTCGTCAATTCGACGGCGGCCACCAGAGGCGGGGTTCAACCATGGAACAGTCGATTAAGGGAGCTAGCAAAGAAGTCACTCTTCTCAGAAGCCCTGTCTGTCTACCTCCAAATGCTTCGCTCCGGTGCATCCCCGAACGCATTTACTTTCCCGTTCGCACTCAAGTCATCCGCCGTGCTTTCTCTCCCCGTCACCGGAGAACAGCTCCATGGCCAAGCGATCACAACGGGTTGTTTGTTAGAACCCTTTGTCCAGACCTCTCTGATATCAATGTACTGCAAGTGCAATTTTGTTGACGTTGCGCGCCAGGTGTTTGATGAAAATCCCCTGTCCAGGAAGCTCACGGTTTGCTACAATGCTTTGATTGCTGGGTACGCCCTGAATCTCAGAACGAAGGATTACAAATTTTGTTCACAAGTATCTTGTCATCATTGTGCTTTCTAGTTTTTTGCCAAACCATTAAAAAAAACAAGTTAATCATGCCCCATAGAGCCAGCTTAGGATTTACAATTTTTTAGTTTATCTCCGAGCTAATCCAACTGAAAGTTAACGTGTTTGTGTTGCCCGAATCTGAAACCTGCGTTGCTAGTTGCCATTGCTCTGCACATGTTTCATTCTCACCTTATGAGAAATATACAAGTTCAATTTATATCATTAATAATTAAATATATTTTTTGACAAACGAAATCAGGAATACTACAAACTACCGTAAAATTCTGTTTCATCACCTTACAAGAATACAGCTTCGGTTTCGATGCAAGATTATGTCATGCCCCATTACAACGAGCTTAGGATTTAATGATTTGATCTCCAAGCTAATCCAACTCAAGGTTAACTTCTTACTGTTGTCCTAATCTGAAACACGAGTTGCTAATTGCTATTGCTCAGCAGTCAGCACACACTTCCTTCATTCTGTCATCGGTCTTCTTCATCTTTTAACAGCTTATTGCTGCCTAGTTGCTCGTAGAAGTGTACAACCTTGGGGTGAGCTTTGATCTTAAACGGATTGAAACCCGACAAAGAGAGCCCTTCCAAGCTCCTCACCCTGGAAAGAGCCACATAGACCATTCCATACCCAAAAGCTCTGGAGAGATCAGTATGGAGGGTGTCAAGAGTCATCCCCTGGCACTTGTGTACGCTCAAAGCCCATGCTAAAATCAATGGTATCTGCTCTCTCCAAGCAACTACCTTCCCTCCTTCCACAATCTCCCATCTTTCTGGTTCAATGATCATTTGTATTCCGGAGTCGAATCTGACCAATGGCAGGTACTCCCCGAGGCTGCTGTTCTGCTTTGCCAAGAAGAAGCCAGTAACTGTACCTGTAGCACCATTGCAAAGCTGGCTCTTCGTATCCAAATTCTTGATCAGCATCACCCTCGCACCACGACAGATCTCGAGTTGGTCTGCCACGATTCCCCGCTTGAAACCGTCTATCCCACCATCTATGGCCTTGTACATGAAAACTTGTTCCCCTAAGCTCTCCATTCGCTCGTTGTTCACCCGTTTCACATCTTCGATCCTAGGATAAAGCCTCACTACCGAAGAATCCGGCTCACTCAGCAGGCAAGATTGTTTCAAGACCTCTAAATCCTCAGAGTCGCCCTTCCCTTTCCTCATTCCATCAAGCAACTTGATAAGCCGAGGGTCGGACTGCCTAAAGATCTTTTTCAGCTCGACTTGAGCGTCAAAAGTTGCATCCCAACAGTCGGCTTCAAATGCAAACTGTTTGCCATATTGGCTAGTGATTGGAGGCAGCTGAAAGAAGTCCCCGCTCACAACTAGCTGTATTCCACCCCATACCTTGTTAGAACTCTTAACCTGCCTTGCTATAAATTCCAAATTCTCAAACATCTCAGCATCCACCATGCTTACTTCATCTATGACCAGTGCCTTCACCTTCTTCCACCTCTTAGTTGCAGAGTTGTTCAGCAAAACTCTATCCACCAAAGTATCGCGATCCGCTTTCCCAAATCCGATTGCAGCGAAAGAATGAAGGGTCTGGCCGCGGATGGCACAGGCAGCTACCCCGGTAGATGCCGTGACAAACACCTTCTGCGGGCCGTGAACTTGCTCCAGGACACCAATGATATGTTGGAGCAAAAGGGTCTTCCCAGAACCTGCAGACCCTGTAATGAAGACAGAAGAGCCACACCGAACTTGAGCCAGCACTTGTTTCTGTTCATCCGCCCACTCAATTCCATCCACGGTATCTCCCTTTTCTACATCTTTAGGGTTTGAAATTGAAGGCGTGGTAAGCTTTTTGGGACTAGCGATTCTAGGTTTCCTTCCGGTGTTTGTACTGCTACTAAAACTCCTCCTCCTACTACTACTTCTAGTTCTAAATGCTCCTACTGCAGTGACTGCAGCGGTAAATAGCTTGGAGCCCATCATTCTTTTGCTGCAGAGAATTTGCTGCTAAGGACAGCTTCATCTCAATCGCCTTTTCTCTTTGGCGGCCCCCATTGAAGGACAGCTTCACTGCCACGAAGAACAGAGAATGAAAATGTTACATTTCCTGGATTCTAGGGCAAAGTTAAAACCGCTACACAAGCACGGTAGACGGTACTAAGGCTTTTAATTTAAGAGACGCTGCTGCCGAGCTTACCAAATGACCATTGTTTGCTGCAGCTGCGGCGGCGGAGTTAACTCTGGCCGTGTTCAGACAGTGGGCTCCCGAAAGGTATTTTAGCGAGAGAGTGGCAATGGAAAGAATCGCGAAACTGCTTCAGGGTGGGATACGACGCCACTCCTAGCGGACGGAAATGGAACCGGGTTTCTGGACTCGTTGTCTTTGTTGTCCAAAGATATTCCTTATCGAAGGTAAGCCGAAAAAATCCCAAAGTACATCAGTTTTTAAAAACAATTTTCAAAATACACTAGTTATAAATTTTTTTCTGAAAATACACATGTTTCACATTTATCGTTTTTGACAAACGCGATGATGCGTTGAATATAATTACCGCGTTTGTCAAAAACGATGAATATTTCACCGTTTTCAGTTAAAACGATGACGTATTCACTGTCTTTGTTTAAAGTGGTGAGCAACAAGGGAGCCATTCACCGTTTTAAAAGAAAACGGGGAAAATATCACCGTTTTGGTCAAACGCGGTGAATGCTCCCCGTTTCATTATGCCACGATGAATGTGGCGCGGATCGCTGACGTGGACAAACACGGGGTATTCACCGTGTTGGACAAATGCGGTGAATTCCCCGTGTTTGTTTACATCAGCGATCTGTGTCGCATTCAAGCACACTGTGGCCGTTGGATGCGGTGAGGCGCGGATCGTGATTTTCTTCCCAGATCCGACGCCTCACAGCAAGCCACGCCACTCGATCCGCGTCGCTCACCGTTTTCAATGAAGGAGGTGCATTCATCATCGCTTTCAAAGACAGTGATTGCTATCCATTTATTTTCGCAGATCCCTCCCTCCCTTCCCTATAAATAGAACCCTTCCCCCCTCTTCCAAATCACACCACCACATTTACAATTCTTTCTCCCTCAATCTATCCGCTCTAGTCTCGTTCTAAGTATGCTCTGTGGTTGCGGCTAAGTCCGATCTTCCAAATCAGAAAGAATTACTAGAGTTTGACCCTAAAGCCCACGTCCCGCTAAGCCCCCGTCCCTTACAAACCCCTCGAACCTCTGTCCGGCTTCCGCTAAAAAATGGACGAAGAGGCTCTTCGTGTAGGTTTTTGGTTTTTTTTTTATTTTTTTTTAATCGAAACAATTTGATTTTGTGATTTTTTTTATCAAAACAATCTGATTTCATTACTTTTTTGTAGATGGGTGCCGAGATATACGATCCTCGATTGTATATCCATTATGGCCCAAGAGATACGAGGTATTTAACCGATCAACAAGCACATCGCTCCCATGCTATTTGGGATAACAATCCGGTAAATTGATGATTTATCTTGTTTTATTTTTTTTTTTATTTTCTAAGGTATTATTTTATTTTCTTTAAACTAACAAATTGATGTTTTTCCTATTTTTTTGTAGGAATCACTTATTCCTGTCGTTCATAAAGGGACCACAAACTTGCCCGCTTGGCATGATCGGTTGGCGCCCTATATAGAGAGGACCGGGTTGGGTATGCTAAGGCATTTCATGCGGATCGAAATTGACAACGATCTGCTTACGGTAATGACGGAGCGATGGCGCCCCGAAACCCATACGTTCCACCTTCCGGAGGGGGAAATGACGATCACCCTCAAAGACGTCGCGATCCTCACCGGGCTGCCGATTTCTGGAGAGGCCATCATTGGGAGCACTACCAAACCTGAAGGAGGTTGGAGGCCGCTCATTCGTGATCGTTTGGGCTTTGACATGTCGACCACCACACCAATTCAAGGACGGGGGCATCCACCATAGAATGCAGGACAAGTGTTAGTCCCGTGGCTCGTTACTCACATCCAAAATGAGGTAGCCATCGACAACGAGACACCGGAAGATCAAGTGGAGCGCTATGCACGCATCTACCTCATTGGTTTGGCCAGTGGATTTATGTTCCCCGACAAGTCAAACCGGTGGATTCAAGGCATATGGTTGCCATTGCTCCTTGGTGATTGGGACGCAATAGGGGAAAAGAGTTGGGGATCGGCCGTGTTAGCTGGCGTATACCGGGACCTGTGTACTTGCTCGAAGTTGGGAGCGAAACAAGCTGGTGTTGCGATGTTCATCCTCTAGCTCTGGGTATGGGAGCATCTTCCAATGTTCGCACCTGAAGACCCACGTCCATATCGGAGAGCAGATGATGAGCTACACTTTGTGCAAAATCCCCCCTACGGTGTCAAGTAAGTTTATTCCGTACTTAGCGTAATTTAAAGGGCTAATACCACTGGAAATACCATCCTTTAGCGAAAGTGTCATTTATATTACGTATTTTCAATAAACACAAAAATATTCCAACGTATTAGGGGTTTGTGTCATCTGTGTTACGCGAAATTCTGTTGACCGTTAGATCTAACTGTTGACCTAACGGTGGTCAACCTTTATCTGACCATTGATGAAGTGGCGCCTGTGGGTTGTCCACGTAGACGACACATAGATGCCATGTTGGAAATTAATAAAAAATTAATTATTTAACATTTAAATTAATTATTTAATAATTAATAATTGAATAGAAAATTAACTTTTCTTTGACACACCCACCCTTTCCTTGACCACACCCACCTAGGGGAGAGCCCGCTGCCGCCGCCGGCGAGGAAGAAGAAGCGAGCTTTATTATGTTGGGGAAGAAGATGCCGTCGGGTGCCAAGGAAGGTTAATTCAACCCTCCCAAACCCAGCTTTCTCCAAAATCCAGCTTTCTTCTGCTTCAATATCTCATACCCAGCTTTCTCCGGCGGGTCGAGCTTCTCCTTTGGCGATGGTGGATCGATGGCAACGACTAGGATAGCGAGATGGCTCAATCGGGTAGGGGAGTGGCCTGAGACGTCGTCGGCGTCAATCACATCTCTCTGCCTCTGCCTCTCTCGATTGGCAGTCGTCGATCGACCTTATCTCTCTCACTCAATCCCATAAACAAAACAGAAAAAATCATTGCCCAATCTCAATTCACATCCCACGATAGCTTTTGAAACAGAAGCTTCCTCGTCCGAAATCAAGGAATTAGGAGGGTCACCTCCAATTGAAACAGATAGGAGCTTCCTCTGTCTCCGGCTCCTTGTCTCCTCTTCAACGCCCCGGGAAACAGAGTAGCATCGATGACGCTTATCACCGCCACAGATTCCCTTTTGTGGTGTTCTGGATCTGCGCTTGAGGGAAGGCGAGAATCAAGGTGAAGGGAGTGGAGGACGGAGAGACGGTGGGAGCCGCTGTGAGGATTAGACTATTAGAATGACCCACCCTTTCTTTTTTCCGCTGCTATAAGAAGGACGCCTCTCCCTGCCTCTGAATTTCTTCCTCTTCAATCTCCCAAAACCAGCCTTCTCGGTGAGTCGAGCTTCTCATTCGGCGATGGTGGATCGATGACAATAGCGTGGCTGGTGGGATGGCTCAATTGGGTGGCTTGAGAACGAGGAAGAGGAAGAGGAAGAAGAAATAGCCTGCGATTCCGATTAACTACCACCGGCGGATTAAAGATTGGGAAGAAGGTGGCTAGGTCAGGATTTGGGAGAACTGAAACGGAAAGGATTTAGGGTTCGTGTCGGATTTGGAGGACAAGGGGAGGAGGTGTCTATTCTCGACAGTGGGAGGATTAATCGATTTAGGGTTGTCCTAACACAAATCTCATAAACAAAAAAAAAAAATCATTCCCCCAATCTGCAGCCGAAAACAGAGCCTGGAAGAAGAGGTTGGCGAAGGGGAGAGATCCAGAGAGATAGGAAGATGAAGAAGACATTTTCCTTCTTTGCTTTTGATTTTGTTTTTTATTTTTTATTTTTATTTTTTTGGGTTGTTTTTAAATTTATTTTTTATTACAATTTTCCACATCAGCTGCCACGTCATTGCTGACTGTATTTTTTGTTAACAACTAACGGAAAACTTAACGGCTGGTATACAATTGTCATATCGAAAACTACATAATATAAATGGCACTTTCGCTAAAGGTTGGTATTTCCAGTGGTATTAGCCCTAATTTAAATTTATTCCATGTTTAACTATATTTCAATTAAGTTTATTCCGTACTAGCCTAATTTAATTTTATTTCATGCTTAACTATATTTCAATTAAGGTTATTCCGTACTTAGCCTAATTTAAATTTATTTCATGCTTAACTATATTTCAATTAAATTTAGTTCGTACTTAGCCTTATTTATATTTATTCCATGCTTAGCTATATTTCAATTAAATTTATTATGTTCTTTTACTTACAAGCTGGATAGGAGCAAATACAAACGACCATCTCAGACACCGCCACCTCCACCGCACTCGTAACTCCAGTAGGGGCTCGGGTAAAGAGACATCCGTGACAAGTCGTTGAGCGAGCCCGCCAAGAAGCAGAAGGAGGAGGTGGAAGAAGGGGTCGAGGACGTCGTGGAGGACGAGGCGAAGGGCGAGATGGGGGCCAAAATGAGGGGCAACCAAATGAAGACAACCAGTGAACTATCCGTGTTTTCTTTGATTATTCTAGTGTTTTGTCATTCGGTGGGTCTGACGGATCGTCTTCATCTTCTGCTCGTACTTTTTTGGCTGATGTGCAACGGCTGCAAGGTGAACAATATCAAACTGGTCAATACATGATAAACAACAAATTATTAAACACATAGTTAACTCGCATTAAAGGACATTAGTACCTGCATGCCACAATTGATTTTTGATGTCTTTCTTCTTTCCAAATTTGTGTTGGAAATTGGCGAGCCAGTGTCGAATAAACCAGCTCCATGTCCATCCCCACTCGTCAGGAAAACCACCCACGACATTCCTAATCCCCCGCGTGTCGATCAGATATAATCGTAATACCCTCTCGCTGTGTCACGTGTTCGTGTAGTTGGTCAAAGAACCATGCCCAACTTAAGTTGTTCTCCCCTTCCACTATTGCAAATGCAAGCGGGAAAATCCGCCTCTTTCCATCAACGCCAGTGGCAATGAGAAGAGTTCCTCTGTACTTCCCAGTAAGGAAGGTTCCATCAACCTATTTAAATATTAGGAAGTAATTAGTATGAAATTTACATGGTCTGAAAGAATACAAACATTTCAAATAGTAAACATGTATTAAAATACCTGAATAACCGGTATGCAGAACGCAAATCCGTCAATGCATGGTTTGAAAGCCCAAAAAAGCCGGTGAAACATCAACTTCTCATGTACTCGAACTTGATCCTCAGTGTATACATTGTTGTA